CCAAGTCGTCCACCATGTCCCTCGGGTCTCCTTTGCTACCTCGTCCACTTGTGGAAGACTGATTCTGTTTCCCTGAGCGCTTGTAGGGGCTGCCATCCTCAATGACGTAGCTGGGAAAATAAAGAAAATTGACTTGACGGTGCAAGAAACAAATCCTTACACATTTAATGAAAAAAAAATTAAAAATATTCATCAGTAGCGTTTGATTAAATATTTTCTGGGTGAAGGAGGATGTACTTACTGGGTTTTAGCGATGGCATCTTCAAGGAAAAACTGGTCGACTGGAAAAGTGCGGCCTGAAATGAAAATGATTCACTTAGTGGAGGGAAAACAATCTATGGAATGAGGTGCCTATCATGTATGACAGAGTCACACTAGCTACTTACCTGGTATGTGGACAGTGGGGCAGTTGTAATAATACTCAGAGAAGAGGTTGGCATTAAGTGTGGCACTCATCAGAATGACCTTCAGGTCCGGTCTCTGCATTATTAGGTCTTTTAACACCAACAGCAAGAAGTCACTGACAAAGAGAAGACAGAAGATTTACCTTATTTAGCGAAACAATGCATGAAGGAAAGTGTACATGTAAACTTTCTGCACCATGAGCGAGTGATCTGCATAATCTCACCTCTCCTCCGTTCGCTCATGCACCTCATCTACAATAACATGTGTGACGCCTTTCAGGTCTGCTTCGCCCTCCAGTCTCCTCAGCAACACGCCCGTGGTGCAGTACAGCAGTCTGGTGGAAGACGACTGACAAAAGAGAGCACTCAGTGATTAAAGAGCTACATATACTTAACAAATATGTTGCACATGAGTCCTTAATGCTGCATACTAGATGTGCATATCAAATGTGCCCTTACCCTAACACTCTCCAAACGGATCTGATAGCCCACTGAGTGTCCCAGACTCTCTGCACGCTCCTGTGCCACTCTCTGGGCCACAGAGATGGCAGAGATGCGGCGTGGCTGAGTACAGATGATGTTGACCACCTGCTCCGCTGGACCGTCTAATGAGGAATCCAGAATGAACTGAGGGATTTGAGTGGTCTTACCACACCTGTACAAGAGTATCGGAAAATAAACATTAAAGGGACAGTTCACACCAAAATAAAAAATACATATTTTCAATGTTATCCGTAGTGCTATTTTTCAGTCTAGATTGCTTTGTTGTGAGTTGCAGAGTGTTGGAGATATCAGCTGTATAGATGTCTGCCTTCTCTCTAATATAATGGAACTAGATGACACTCAGCTTGGTGGTAAAATGTGGATTTAGTCACCTTATAATCACTTCAAATTGTGCTGAGGACCAGAATCTAGCACCACAGTCAATTTACAATACATGAAACCACTTCAAATTTTCCATTCACCATTGTCTTTCATAAGTATCATTTCACCCTTTTAAATCTCTGGGAATGCCAACACTTCATGCAGCCCTGTGTGACTCACCCAGTCATCCCGCTGACAACCAGCACCTGACACTGGCCTAGCAGTTCGAGGATGTTTTCTTTTTCTTGCCAAGCCGGCAGTTTCCTCCTCTCCTCCAACATGGACCTGAACCGCCCGGAAGACTGTTTGAACAGAGGGATGGAAGAACAGCAGTTTATTAAATTACATGCATCACCTTGGAGAGAATGTCAAGTAAGATATAAATATGACGAGATCAGTCTTCTTTTACCAGTTTCTTCTTAAACTCTCTGCACAGCTTGCCATTTTCTTTCAGCAGGTTGTCTATCTTCGGGTTGTGCTTATTCACCATCCTCTTCCTCAGACTGACGTAACTCTCACTCTCGACTGGAACAGCCTCGTCCTCGTCGTCTTCGTCCCTTTCATCTGGAGACTCTGCCTCTTCTGCCTCTTTCACTTTGAAACAGTGGTGGGATTCAACTTATATAAGCATAAATACTAAAATCTATGTGGTGAAAATAGAGATAATAATATAAAAAATATGAAGTAAATATTGACTCACAATCTGCAGGTCTCTGGTTGGTAGGTGGAGCAGTCCTTTTGCTGTTACTACTCCTGTTTTCCTCAGAGGCATTGCTCCTCACATTCTTACTCTTTGCCACAGCAAAAGAGGGTGGAGGAGGTGCCACAACAGGTGGGGGCGTGCTGTATTTGTGATGAGTGACAGCCAGCAGTCTCTTCATGGTAGTTTCATCCTCACATAAGGTGATCAGAGTGTAAACAACAGGCTCGTTGCTCGACGCAGCAGCCAATGCTTCTCCGTACAATCTCTCAGTCACGCTGAGCCTCCCTGCGGCTCCGACAGATTCATCTGTGGTGCTGAAGGCAACTATTGGTGCCTGAAACGGGTAACGGTTTCCTTTGGGGAAACGAATCTCTAGTTCATACTCAGGAGGAGAAGAGCTGCTGAAGCCAGGCTGGCTAGGGCTGTTCAGGTCTGGGGAACTGGCCCCAGATCTCCCTGTAGTGACGAGCTGGTGCTTAAACTTGCATTTGTCCCCAAAACGGCAGCCCTGCCCTCTCAAGTAGAATCGGCAGACATCACGGGTGTTAACAGCACCTCCGCCCCCACGACTCCCGTCTTGCCTGCCATTCTTTGCAGCATTGTCTGAGAGAAATGAGAGGTCGAGGGTTACTGTCCAGACTGCGTTGGCAATGCGCTCACTGAAGCGCTCCCCGTAAATGGCACATAGAGCTAGAGATTCCTCCTGCCTCTGGCTCAGACACTCATCCATAGGCACCCCCTCAAGGCCATCAGGAGAAAGTGCTTTCTGGCCGTAGCGCTCACTGAAAACCTGCTGGAGGAGCTGTTCCAAAGTGGCCCCGAATTCCCCTCCACCAGACTCCAATGCCTGTTTGCCACGCTCCCTGTCAAACCCATACCTTTAAAAAGGAGAGGAGAAAACAAAAGGTTAGAAAACAACATAAATATTCATCTAACTTAATATTTTAGGTTCCTGATAGCACAGCATTAAAAACACTGGCTTTATATCAAATGCAGGACAAATGTCAGCTCCAAAATAAACAAATCTGTACATCACCTGCAGAGTTTTCCTATGGCAAATAAGGAGATGATAGGTTCAGGGGTGGGCCGTTCATCATCAGACTCTGTCTCATATGCTGGGCTCTCTGCCCTCTCCACAGGGTCGTCATTAGTGGCCCAAAACTGGCCATCCTCTCGGTGGTCCAACTCATCAACTTCCACCTCATCCTCTTCTCCCCCAGAATAGTCTGAACCAGATTCACTGGCAGAGCAGATGATAAAAACATCTCTTAGTTGAAACATTTCCTAGCATTACATTTATACTCTTCACACAGAAAAGGGACATCTAGAATGTGATTGGTATATTTAGTAGATGTTCTTACTCATATGGCTCATCAAAGTCCTGGGACTGCAGATTCCGCAGCAGCTCCTTGAGTTGTTCTTGGTTCTCATTAGTCATGAAGATCCTCTGCAAGGGCATGCTGCTCATCTCCGGCTTGATGCCGTCACCTGTCTTTGGGCTTGGTCTTGTCCTTGCCAGAGACCTTGGGAGAGCTTTGCCACTGCTCTTCCCACTGCCTCTGCCATCCCTGTCACGATCTCTACCTCCCCGTCCTCGACCTCCATCCCTGCCACCGCGGCTGCCGCTGCTGCTGCCGCTGCTGCTGCCTCGTCCTTTGCCAGGTCTGGAGGCAAAGCCAGGTAAACAGAGAGAGACAGAGGAACAGGAGAGATTAGGGTGATAGAGGACGTCAGCAGAAAATTAGCAAACTGTGAAAAAATTTAAATGTGATAATGAATTCCTTTGCTGTGAATGCATACCTGCTGGGACGAGAGGGTCCAAAATCAAGGGAGAAATCATCACCGTCATCCCAGCAACCGGCTCCTCCTTTCCTACTTCCACCTCCACCTCCGCCTCCTCCTCCACCACCTCCTCTCGGCTTGTTAAATTTCCCCCCTCCTCTGTTTGGCTTCCCACCTCTTCTCCTTGCATTCATTTCTCTGTTAAAACACACATAAACAGTTTCATCACAGGGAATATATTTAAAGCAGTCTAGCTTCAGAGTATCACCACCAACACATCATGGTCTGCCTAAAATACACAGCTATAATCCCACAGTATACTCACATTCAATTAATGTCCTTTCATAGCAGCAAACAATCTGTGAAGAGAGACGCAAAACACATATAGTAGTTTGAATAAATCCTCGCAGCCCTGCGAGTAGTAATCCTGGATACACCAGAGAGAGCTTCTAGTTGCGGACCCGGGCAGCGCAGACAGCCACTGTACATCCACTGCAGCGCACAGAGTCGCACATAGCTGTGGGGTGGCTCATTGTGGCACTTCAGTTCAAGTGCGAGCAATGAGATGGTGGCTGACACACACTGCGCTGGTGGCTACAATTATGCAATCAATGCGTACAGACTTAACAACCCAACCAGGGCGATGACCATTTAACTGAACTTCGCGCCCCACTGTCTGACAATGTATTTTATTAGCAAGTTACAAAGAAACAGGGTATAACTGGTATCGATAAAGTGGCGTCTTGTAGTGTGGCAAGTCAGTCAGTAAAGTGTATAAAGCTTCGGCTAGCTAACAAGCTAACCGCTAGCACTTCTGATATAACAAGCTAACGCTAGCGGAGAGAAGCTTTCTCACATGTCAACTCGAGAGGTTTAAATGATTAAGAATGCCTTGACTACATATGAAAGTATACCAGAAACGATAAAGTACAAAAGTACTTAAAAAACAAAACTTTCAAAACAAGTATTGACAAACCATAGCCAGCTGTTCCAACCACCGGTAGCCTGCATCTCCTCCATTGGCCGAAACTCAGAGTTCAAAGTTCATTTCCGGTGTCCGGTAACGTCTTAAGTTACTTCATGTAAAAGTATTATTTAGAAAATGTCTGTAGGCTGTTAAAGGCGATATATATATGATTAAACTACTGTAACTGTATTTTAAAAAAAAACAAAACACTTTTTAGAAGCTAACGTTAGGTCTGTACTAAATCTTGTAACCATGGCAACTGCAGTTTGCGTCGTGCTGCCTGCACCACACAGAGCTGACAGTTTATTTTAGAGTAGCCCAGACTGTTTATTTTAGGATTATGTACTGAACAAATATAGCCCGGAGTTTTCTCAGGTCATTTTCACAACTTTGTAAAAGAGTTCCTGGCTTCCCACATTCCTATCTGGCCGGTTCACAGCGTTTCCTGTCGGTTCTGACAACCATCTGCCAGCTGGGTGAAGCTGTCGCGGATGTCTGGTGGGGTGTGAATGTGATTGTGATGCTTTCTTACACACAGCTCACACACACACAGCTCCTTCTGTTTTCTTGTCTGCTGTCTAATTTTGTGTCGTTTTCACTTTCAGACAAGAAGGAAAGTGATTCTTTAAAAACTCAAGGTACATTTCAAGTTCCATAGCCTACCTGCAAAGTTGAATCTGACATATAAGGTGTTTGAGATGAATATGTCTCTTTGTTTACAGGGGTAGGACCTATAAAGGCATCCTACATTTTCCTAAATGGGGACAGATATGGTGAGTTTCTCATCACAATTACATAGGTCTGCAAGGCCGTGGCCATGGAGTTTGGGGGGTAGGGCGTCTGGGGTCCCTACTTATTATACTGTATTATTTATCATAGCCAAGTACTACTATACATTATGCTATACAAATATGCATAAATGAAAGCAATGTTAGTTGAATACACCTGTGAGTCATGTTCTGCTTTGGGTACAGCAACACTAGGACAAACCAGTTGTCCCTTCAATAGATGCACTGAACAAGAATTTAAACGCAACACTTTTGTTTTTGCTCCCATTTTGCACAAGTCTAAGTTAAAGATCTTTTTAATTCACTCAGTGTATGCCTTGCGATGGTCACAATAAAAGGACACTAAGTGCAGGAATGTCCACCAGAGCTGTTGCCTGTGAACTTAATGTTCATTTCATGACCATAAGATGTCTCCAATGTCGTTCCATGACTTTGGCGGTACATCCAACCATCCTCACAACCTTTGTCGGACAGCATAATTACTACACAGGTATGCCTTGGGATGGCCACAATAAAAGGCCACTCTAAAATGTGCAGTGTGATCACTTAACACAATACCACTTGCAGTACTTGGCAGTACTTCCAGTCAGCCTCACAGCTGCATAAGTCAGTTAAGACAATGAACTTCTGTTAGAGCAAGACCCTGGTGAGGACGATGAAAACACAGATGAGCCTCCCTGAGACCGTTTCTGATGGTTTGTGCAAACCAAGTGTTGCAACGGCTGTTTGGGTGGCTGGTCTCAGACGTTCTTGCAGGTGACGCTGGATGTGGAGGTCCTGGGCTGGCGTGGTTACATGTTGGTTGGATGTAGTGCCAAATTCACAGAAACAACATCGGTCTGGTGGACATTCCTGCAAACAGCATACCAATGGCACACCTCCTCAAAACTTTGGACGTGCGGTTCTGTGTTGTGTGATCAAACTTCACATTTCAGAGGGGTGTTTAATTATGACCATCTGAAGGCACACGTGTAGTAATGATGCTGTTTAATAAGCATCTTGAAGTGCTCACTAACACAGATTTTAACAAAATTGCGACCAGAATTTGAGAGAAACGAATCTATTAAGTACATAAAAAGTCTTAGATCTTTAACTTAAAACTGTGAAAATGGGGCAAAAGTGTTATGTTAAAATGTTTGTTCAATATACTGTAATTACTGCCTGGTAGGTCTGTGTCAATCTCTCGTCTGCTCTCCACAGAGGGGGAGTGCAGCATGACTGCATCAGGGGTGATGATGAGGAGTGGCAGTGGTAAACACACCTCAGCAGGTGGAATCATATACACTGGAGAGTGGCATGAAGACAAAGTATGTATTTACTCTGTGTGTACGTTTCCTTCTTCTGATGTCTGTTACTAAACACTGTATTTGCTCTGTGGTTAGTTATACATGCTTGCTTTCCGTCCCACACAGATGCACGGCAGAGGGACCCTGCAGCATCCCTCTGGAGCACTCTATGAAGGAGAGTTCAAAGACAACATGTACCATGGCACAGGGACATATACTTTCCCAGACGGCTCTACTTACAAAGGTCATTTTCACATGAACAGGTAAAAAACAACACATTTTTGGCACCTAGTGTGTCATTCCTTTAATGTTTTCTGGAAAGAGCTGTGTCCTTTAGGAGCTTCCAAATAAATATACTGTAGGGTTGCAGTCTAATTGATGAGCAGTGGTTCAGATTCTTTTATAACCAGAATAAAGCAGCAAGACTCCAGTTGAACAGTCTCAAAGTAATTAGTGGTTTAGTGCACCTTAAAAGGGGCAGTTAACCCCAAAATAAGAAACACATATTTTTTCCTCCTACCTGTGGTGCTGTTTATTAGTCTAGACTGTTTTGGGGTGAGTTGCAGCGTGTTGGAGATATAGGTCGCAGAGATGCCTCCTCCTGAATATAATGGAACTAGATGGCACACATGCTTGCGGTGCTCAAAATGCCAAAAAAAATACATTTGAAGAACTCAGCAGCAATGTCTCTTTACAGAAATCATGACCTGGTTACTCAAGATAATCCACAGACCTTGTTGTGAACAGTTTTCGTGTAGGAACTATTCTCTTTTTACTGAGCTACACCCATTAACCGCATCACCGCACAGAAGGAAGTGTGCATCTACTGCTAGCTCACCTAGCACCACTGAGCTAGCTAACGTTACAGCACAGCCAAAGGGGATGCCATTAATGTTTACATCTTGTTTTGGCTCTCGTCCATGAGTAGATGCACACTTCCTTCTGTACAGTAATACGGTTGAAGGGTGTAGTTCAGCAGAAAGAAAATAGTTCCTACATGAAACTGCTGACAAAAAGGTCTGTGGATATCTTGAGTAACTGGGTCATGATTTCTGGAAAGAGACAATGCTGTTGATTTTTTCAAATGTATTTTTTGGCACTTTGAGCACCACAAGCTGAGTGCCATCTAGATCCATTATATTGGAGAGAAGGCAGACATCTCTATAGCTGATATCTCCAACACTCTGCAACTCACACCAAATCACCACAATCCAGATTGATAGATAGCACTGCAGGTAACAGGAAAAATATGTATTTTTGACTTTTGGGTGAACTATGCCTTAATATGCCATTTCCCACATATAATGTTTAATATATCAACCACTTAAACTCTGACATTCACAATATTTCTTTTAAATTTCCCCTCAGACAGTTTCAAAGTTGGATATAACATTTTTTTCCACATCAATCCGTTGTTTTGAAGCTAAATAATTAAATGTTTCACTATTTTGTTTTACTTTTGGGACATTCAGTTGTATTAAATGTCAGATTTTTGATCTGATTTTTAACTGGTGTGTTCTAGGTTGGAGGGAGACGGGGCGTTCACTGACACACAGGGACTGGTTTGGACAGGGGAGTTCCACGGCAAAGCAGCGCTGGGCCTGAAAATGCAGCACAACATTTGAGCAAAACAAGCATTATTGTGTCTCCCTGTGTATAAAACACTGTATGATAAATTTTGCATTCAAATTTAACTCTATTAAAAAAGATTTACCATCTAAAAACGTACATACTTTCATAGCCCTGGATGCTTCTATGAGGAAGCTCAGGGAAGTAGCTTTGACATATTTTGACAACCTGCACAACTATCAGTGTTTATATGGAAGCCCATGAAAAAGGAGCTTATGAGTCATTATAATAAGAAACAAAATAATGCTCGAAATAATGACTAATAATCTCGAAATTATGATTATGTGTAGTCTTTGTGAATGTGATAAATGCTAGCAGATGGACCTGTGTTTTTGCCAACACCCAAAGATCACACACACCCATGTACTTCTGTGTATTGGTGGTTAAATATCCATGAGTCACGTCTCTTGCCTGCTTTCACTCTCTCAGCAGTATCTCCTGTTTTACTGGTTGCTGTGCTCCAACACAGCTTTGCCACACTGGGATTATTTTTTCTGGCCCTCTGTCACTCTGCTTCGTGTGGCTGCGACAGGAAGAGTGTATTACATGCTACACTTTGAACTAAAATAAATCCAGGAATACTTGTGGGCGAGTTTGCTGCACTTATTTCACCGTGCACTTTTTGTTACTGTTAGACTTTGAAAAATAAGCACCACTCAAATGGACAAAACCCAGAACCACCCCCCACCTATTTCCACTTCTCCCTGCTTTTACTACATCTCGGCTCCATCAGGGTGAAGGGCAGTTTTACATCATTACACCACCAGCCAATCACAAAGGGGCATATGCCCACGTCCCCATCCACAACAGCTGTACCCGGACTGTTGGAACATTGGCCCGGGGAAATATGTGATGTGATGTGAGTGTGTGGTCAGTTTGACCTTCAGTGTTGATGTGTGTGTGCACAGCTTTGTGTGTGAACCAGCTCTCCACCCTGCAGCACCCCGCACAATTCCCGCAGCTAACGAGCAATTACTTCACAGACAGTCACAACTGTTCAACATTGTTTAATAACTCTGATATTGTACTTCTATTGAATAATGCCTCTATGGATCTGTCATTGCACATACCCCTGAACAAATTCAGTATTGAGTATTTATCTAGACTACACAGATATGGAAATGTGTGTAACAAAAACACGTTTATACTGTAGTAAGACCCATATAATGCTAAACACTTCTGGTAAAATACTGTACCAGATACAAGAAACAGCTAGTTTTCAATGATTGTACAGTTTTCAGGTAGAAAATAACATTTCTGTATTGCAAACCTTCAGTGGTGACTTGAATGAGGCAACAACAATGAAATAAAAATAGAAAATGGCACTCAAATTTGGCACAAGATACAAAAAAAAATACATCTGAACTCTGAAGAATACAAACTTATGATGGGTTATTGTGTTTGGTGAGAATGTGCAGCCTATGCAGTAAATGTTTGGTGCTTCTGGTGTTATTTTCCTATGAGGAGGTGATGATAAATGTGTATTCATCACTACAGGTACTGAGCTAGATGATGGCGAGGAAGCTTTAAAACTTCTGCAATATATAATCTCCATAAACCTGAGAATCTATAAAGTATACAATAGTATTTTTAAAGAGTTCACCTTCCTGAAGAAGAAAAAAACTCCACTTCTATTTGTGCTGGAAACATCAGACAAAGAAAAAGCCATTCCATATACCAAATATAAATGTGACTCAAAACAAAACAGTGGCCATGCACATTTCCACAGAGAATCACAAGACTGAGTGTCAGAATTATTGTTCTATACAGAGCTAATAAATGACCCTTTAAGCGAGAGTGATATGTAACAAGGTGACCATGCGTTTTGTTTGCTGTGCTTGTTTGTGTGCTTCACTCCAGGGCTCTCGACTTTGGAGACCCGCTTAGGTAGTTGGATGTGAAGGAGCAATAAAGTACAGTGAAGACAAATAAGAAAAACAGCACCATTTTTGTGACAACTGTGTTCTTCCAAGCAAGAGTGGCAAAGTGCTCACCAAGGCCACCACCGAGGAGCTCAGTGGTTTACGTAATGTGCTGCTGGACGGGCAGATAGAGAGGGGGAGACAGCGGATTGACGCAGGGAGTCAGATTTGGTAATTATTATGAACATTGCTGAGGTTCAGCTCAGGATGGTTCCATTAAAAAGCTCAGAGAAGTGTCTGTTTCCCCCAACGGCCACAAGGGGGAACAATGAGCCCATTCCACACTTGAAGCTAACCTTGACAAGCGATACAACAATCTGAAGTGTGTTTATGGAAGCCCATTATCACCAATGTGATTACAAAAATAATGAGAAAATAATGTCTTAGAATCGCAAAATAATGAGAAACTTTACAAAAATAATGACTATCTCAAAGCCTCTCTTGAAATGATTTTTCTCAAAACATGACGAACTTTCTCAAAATAATGACTTAGTCTCTTGAAATGTATAGTATAAGTAGTATATTGAAATGATGACAGTGCATCGCACTGCCTTTTTAATTGAATGCCACAAGTAAACATTTTTAAAAAAGCTGCTAGTAATTATTATCTAGACCCCAAAACAGACAGGCAGAGGGTACTTGCTGTAGCTTGAGGGTATAGGTTGAGGGTGAGAGCCTGTCAGCAAATAGTTCGTCGGGCACAGGGAAACAGAGATTTGTGTGGGTACATGAGACCCTTAAAAAAGAGGGTGGGTCATGGGGAGTCCCACTAGTTGGTCCAGGAGCTTCGCCTCAATGATGGCCATTTCCAGGCATATTTTAGGATGACACGGTGGCATTTGACAACCTGCTGTCTATCATCAGGCCGTATAGCTCTGGGTATCCAGCAACCATGACCACCAGTTTCTTCTCAGTTGTTTACCAACTGTAAACCTGACCACGACAGAAGGCCCACCTCTAAAATCCTCCAATTGGACAATAGGAAAAAAGATGACGAAAAAACAGATGATGTTAGGCGTTTTCCCACTCTGAGTTTTTTCAACTTGAGGAGTCCAAAGTGCTCCAGCAAAAATGCTAGGCGCCTATAGCACAGAAATGCCACGGCATGTCGCAACACAAAAAAAAAAAAGAGATCAGATCGGCAGTAATGGGCTTCCATAGATTTCCAACAGTATATTAGGTTGTAAATAACGGCAGACCTTAAGAATAAAGAGCTAACTGGTTATTTTGGCAAATGTACATCTGGATAACCACCCAACCTCCGTTATACAGCTTTTCTGTGGAACCACAACAGGCTTAGATCTGATATGTGAACATGAAGAAAGTCTGGATGACATAAGTGATTACAGATTTCTGTGATTTCTGGATGTGAAATTCAAAAATTACCAAAGTTTAAGATACAGAGGATAGCAAGGATTCTATACAAGGTTAGATTTCTATTTTAAAATCATCCTCCACACATCTGCCCATTTTCACTCATGTTCTTCTTCCTGCACACATATACTTTTTACATTTACAAACAAACCCATAAACTTAGAGCTGGTATATTTATTTTTTTGTGACATAGCATGTGGGATCACTGTGCCGTTAGTGGAGACGGCTCCCATTTCTACATTTGGACTATCAAAATGACCCTGTGGTTTGCTTCCAAAAGGCCTTTTTTCCCTAGAAAATACATAAGAAAAACTTTCAAATCCATCACCCACAAACGACAGCCCCGTACCTACAGTAGGCTTTGTGTTAAAATAAAAAAACACAAACTGATTAGAAATCATGTAAATTTACATCTTAATTAAAAAAAAATATTCATCAGAAACTGTTTACCCACACACATCGATACAAATAAATAGGAAAACATCACTAAGGAGTCAGAAAAGCACCAACACTTTAAAAAGGGGGACATAGAAATTGACAAAGTTGTGAAGATATTTTTTTTGGGGGGGGGGGGGGGGGGGGGGCAGTATAACTGGCCGAAACAGTCTCCTGCTACAGTGGTCTCATGTTAACAGCTACCTGTCCTTGCCTGTCACGTCCGTGTGAGTGTGTTCGCAGTAGTCATAGGCACATGTTAACGTCAAGTGTGTGTGTGGCATCTATTTGTGCCGAGCTCACAGCAGGAAGCTCCATTCACTCGTCTAATTTGCTCCATTTTACTCTCCATCTTCCATCATCTCCCATTACTGGATAGCCTGGGAGGTGGTTTCTCCATCTCCATCTCCATCTCCAGCTTCTTCCTCTCCACCCTCCCCCATCCCTCCATCACTGATGTGGAGTATAACCCCCATTCCCTCCTCCTCCTCTCCTCAGGCTCCATTTTTGCAGTAAGAACACACCCTAAAACAACTCCGACTGGCTCGTATGTGACCTCTCCACCGCCACATTTCCCCCCCATCCTGCTCTGTCCAACCCCCCCACCCCCTCCCTCCGTCACGGATTCTGCAGCAGCCCCTCCCACTGGATCGGCTGAGAGAAGACCTCTCTCTCCAGCCACATCTCGTAGCTGTAGTGGAAGTCCTCGGGAAGCTCTACGCGCTGGCCCAGCACGCTCTGGAGACAGTTGTCCACGGGCGTGAAGTCTCCGTTCTTGTTCTTGTCGTAGCGACGGCTGTTGAACTTCTCGATGCTCTCCCGCAGGGCGCACTCCTCCGCCTGGAAGTCCCAGGGCCGAGCGTCGATATCTGGGATGAGAGTAGAGATATTTGACTGTTTACACTCCTGCATCTCCACTGAGCAGTTCCCCTCTGTCTGTCTGTTACTGATGACACAACACACCTGCTCCTGTATTGATTATTGATCCATTTCCCTCTCTTATTATTTTTCTACCTTATTCTCTCCCTGTTTTTCCCTCCATCCATCTTTCTCTCCAACACTCATGATGACGGATCACTTGCTCTCCCGCGAGGGACGGTGACCCTGAAAAGTCCCCCTTTCTGTTGCCATGGCAACACAATCCAGGCTGTGCACCAGTGGCTGTAGGAGCATTGTGTTTCACACGCACAGCACATACTGTACATACAGATGGGTGCGTAAACACACATGTACACATCTACTATTATTATCCAATTAGAGTTTATTAACCTGTGTTAAATGTTCACAGAGCTCTATGTGTGTGTGTGTGTGTGTGTGTTTTGTGTATTCTTTATACTGCAGTCTCTGTTCTATTAATCAGCTCTGTGTGAGGGTAAAGGAGAACTGTGGGAACTAATTACCTCCATGACTGTTTCATTTATGAAGATCTGAGGGGTCAAACTGAGGTGTGGAGCCAGGAGAATGACTGAATATTTTCTTTGTATTATTATGATTGAAGCTGCACTTCATAATTGTTTCATAATGTCATACACTGAACACTATAAATCATGAATTAGGGCTGTAAGAAAGAAAAGCATCCCATCTGTAGTAACTGAGATGATATAAGATTTAAAAAGTAACTAGCTTTCCTTCCTTTTCTTAATTGTCAGAATAACATAAACATATTTTGTTGCAGGAATTTCATGACATGTAACAGCGTCCCACCATGGGAGATTTAAAATGCAGCTTGTAACAGTTAGCAGCTAACACAAAAAAAACAGAACACTGGCTGAAAATGTCTGCAAATTGGGAAAACAATGAGGTCCAGGAGCTCCTTATCCTACGAGCAGAGGACGAGATCAGTCGCCACATATC